GAGAGAGAGAGAGAGAGAGAGAGAGAAGCAGGGTTGCATAGTAGTCAGGAAAGGGGACCAGGTAGGGATAATGATCTGGAATCTAAATCTGGTCTCTTTCTGGCTGTGTGCCCTTAAGCAAGTCACTCGGCTCTCTGAGCCTCTGTTTCCCCATCTGTAAAATAACCATCCTGATAATCCTTACCTTGCTATAAGGATTTAATGAGAGAATTTCCCCAAAGGGCTCAGCGCTTGGCTTGACACCTCAGAAGTGTGTGTCAGAGTTGTTTTTATCGTAAGTTAATGAGCAAATGAACAAATTAATGAACAAAGCAATGAATGAACCGGGTCACAGTCTCCATCCTGATCACAGGCTGTGTCTGTCTGGCACAATGCCTTATCTTTGGGCACAGGGACATGGGTCTGGCTGAGCTGGGGCTGTCAGGGGAGGAGGAAGAAGAGGCTCTGGGACCTGGGCCTGGCTGTGCTGATGGTGAGCAGTAAGAGAAGAGCCACAGAGGCCATGGCTGGCAAGTGCTGGGTTGGGAGAGGAGCTGGAGCAGCCCAGTGATGGGTTCTGGCCAGAGAGGAGAAAGCACATCCACCTGGGACATCAGGGAAGGCTTCTTGGAGGAGGAGTCTCCTAGGAGACTAAGAGCACTCTGGGTGAAACAAAACAAGTGACATTAAAGGTATTCCTGACTAAAGGGACAGCTTATGCAAAGTTATGGGGAAATCCTGAAAGTTGGGTGTGTGTGGAGGGGGCTGGTGAGGTGGACAGAGGCAGTGTCACACCTTGAATGGCAGGCCGTGTGCCCAGAGCCTTTCCATGGGGAGGATTTTATGCAGGAGTCGCATGATCAAATTTGCATCTCATCAAGGCCCTTCTAAGTACAGCAGGGAAAGGGGGCCCTGCTAGAGGCCAGGCTGTGGCAGGGTGGAGCAGACAGCCCCAGAGCCTGGAGCACAGGGTTCCTCCTCCCCAGCTCTCCCCAGAGCTGGTGATCCCCCAGAGCTAGGCCTCCAGGGAGTCTGGGCCCCAGAGGGAGTTCACCACTTGCCTGTAGACCTCCAGCTGGCATGCAGGGTGTCACCCTCTGGGATTGCTCCTCCCGGGGCGGGCAGCCTGAACCTGAGTGCTCTACTTGGGTCCCCCACCCACCCCTGCCCTGCAGCTCCCTCAGCGCCTCCTCCTCGCCTGCCTCCGCATAAGGGCGCCATTTGGTGTCTAAATAGGGAGGGCGCGGAGGCAGGTAAGGAGGTTTAATTAAAATTAGTGCCTCTCTCCTGGCAATCACGGTGTTTATGAAGATGGGCCCGGCTGGCATTGTTCCGCCGAGGACTTAATCGAAGCTTAATGGATTGACCTAACATTCGATTTCCTGACTCCCATTGAGGCGGAGGCAGCAGCATTCCCTTAAGCGTTTGCAATTTACCCACTGCTCCGCGCCAACAAAAGGCGGCCTGAATAGCAGCCCCACTTGAGGGGCCATTGTGCGCGGGGGCGCCTGCCTGAGTCACTGCTATTGGGACAACATTCTTTATGCCTCGCTGGAATGAAAGGATTATTCAAATATTCAATTAAACCGTGAAAAGGGGGCTTTTCTGAGAAGCTGGGGGCCCCCAGCTCCACAGAGCTTGAGGGCTGCTTTCCAAGGTGGGGGTCCTATCTCCCAGCCCCAGCACTGTGGGGGAGCTGAGCACAAGCACTCTTGAGGGGGCTATGGGGGCGCAAGCTTGTCTCCAATGTGCCCATCGATAATCTGTGGGCACTCAGGGCCTGGAGCTGGGCACACAGGCGAGGTCCAGTTCTTGGCCACCCTGTGAGGTAGAGATTAATTTGCTTCCACTGCAGATGACAAGAAAATGAAACTCAGAGAGAGGAAGTGACTTGCCCAAGGTCACACAGCTGACTGTAGAGCTTGGATTTGAACCCCTGACTCATGGCAGGGGCGTCTCCGGATTGGTGGAGGAAGAGCATGATGTTCTGTGGGCTGTTGGCTGTCACACCCATCGTAGGGTCTTCAGAGCCTGAGGGCCCATGGAGGCCTGGAGAAGGGGAATGACTTGCGCAGGGTCTCAAGAGGAGAAAGTCAAGTCTAGGGGCCAGGGTAGCCTCTGTGGGGGTAACCCTGGGTCCCCAGGGGTGGAAGCTCTTGGATGGAATATAATGTTACATCTAATCCCCCAGGAATCGGTGGCCAAGCTTAACTCAGCCCCTAGGCACGGGGACCCAGCCCTGCTTGCCCACAGTGGGAGGCTTGGGCTTTGCAGTCAGAGGAGCCTGGGTATCCTTTGTGTGCCTCAGGCATGCCCTGACTCAGTGAGCCTTGGGGCTGTCTGGTCCTGCGTGTCTGGATGTCTGTGGGGATTATGTGAGCTGGGTGCAAGGTGCCAGGTGGATGCCCAGGAAACTGGGTCCAGATTCTTGGACTACAGTTCCTGGGGTGCAGTTCATGACCATGCTTCCTTCTGCCAGTCCTGTGGTGGCTGCCCTGTGGGGGGAGTCGGGGTCTCTAGCCTGCTGAGAGCTGAGAAACCACAGAATGTCTAGGAGGGGCTGTCCCTGAATCCTGTCCTTGTCTGCACCCACCCCCAGCACTGTCGTCCCTGGTACTGTGCAGCTGGGAACAGTAAATCCTAGTAAAGCCAAGGCCCTGGTCCTCTCCAGACCCCACCCGCCCCTGTCCCGAAGGCAGCATTCCGGCCAGTCCTCCCCACCCCAGCTGTTTCCTCCAGACCCCTTTACTGCTTTGTGGCCTTGAGCTAGTCCCTGTCCTCTAGACCCCCAGACTTCTTGTGAATTGTCAGTAGATGATTATCAGGAGACTGGCCCAGCTCTGGGGGACAGGGACAATGGAAAGTGAAGGCAAATGGGACAGGAGAAGGATGGGAAGAGGTTAGGATAGGGATGGAGCCAGCAGGCAGCTGTTGCCTCTCTACTCAGGAGCTTAGCTAGGTGGTGTGACTTCCCACGACCTTTGAGTGTGTCTGGGGCAGGCCGGGCTATGGAGCAGGGCTGCTATGTACAGTTGGACAGGATGCTTACTGCACAAGGGCACCCTAGCCAGGGTGGAGTGAGTGAAATCCAGGTGCACCTCTCTGGGCGAGGGGGAACTTCCAACTGGAGCAAAGGTGGCTTATAGGCAAATGGTGATTCTAGGGAGGTTAGGAAGGAATGACCCTGAAGGGAGGATATGGGGTCAGGGGTGGGGGTGGAGGATGGGAGGCCAGATCCTGCCAACTGCCCTGGCCCAGCCCTGGGCCCAGCTCGGGTTTCCCTAAATCCGACTTTGGACAACATAGGCCTTGGCAGGCGTGCTGGGGGTGGCCGGGGATCAGGGTTGCCAGGAGCGGGGAGCTCTTCTGGTGCAGCAGGTGTTAAGAGGGATTAGGGAGCGGGGGGCTGCACATGCTGGCTCTGAACTCCCCCGCAGCAGCAGAGCTGGGTGATAGGGGCAGAGGGGAAGCAGAGAGGTGACCATTTTCTGAGCCTCTGGTCACCATGTCTCAAGCAAGACTGGCTAGGACTTGAGGGCCGGGGGCTGATTCTGTGGATGCCTGCTAACCCCAGGCCCCCCCAGTCAGGGTACCACAGGGGAAGCTGTCCAGGAGGTGGGGGAGGCCTGCAAGCTGTGAGGAAGAGTAGGGTGGCAGGAAATTGACCCAGGCTCTCCCCACACCTATACCCTCCCTGCTAGGGTACAGGGACTCATCCAGGGGGCCAGTGCTCCTACATGGAGGCTGGAATTTGAACCTGGTCTGTCTCCCTCCAGAGACATGTGTTTGTTATCTCTTCCCTGGACCTGGGGGGTGCTTCAACCGCAGTGGGCACAGGCCACACCCCTCCTCTCCCTCCCACGCGGAGCCATTCCTTCACGTTCAACACGCATCCTCCTGTTTGTCCCCGTTCTTACGTAAGGTCTGCTTTGTGCGCAAGCACTTTTAATTTATGTAAATGGCTGTGCCTTATAGATCTCATTCTGGGTCTTCCTTTTATGTGTTTTGTTTTCCACTCAGCCCCGTGCTCAGCTCAAAGATCCATCCATTTGCTTTGTGCTCTGTCTTCCCCATCACTTCTGTCTCCTGCACGTGGTTCTTGGGGTGCAGCCACCACATGGCCTTCTAGACCACCTCCTCCCATTGTAAAATCAGACGGTCCCTGCCTTAGCCTTGGTTCTGTTCACAATAAGTTGACTTTACGATGGAGGGAAAGCCATTTGCACTGGGTACACAGCATGCTTAGAGTACCCATGTAGCCGTTTTGATTTTCATTTTCAGTACATGTGACATTGGATACTTTTAAATAAAATAGGCTGTGTTAGATGACATTGCCTAATGATAGGCTAATGGAAGTCAGGCAGTTCAGGTGGGTAGGCCAAGGTATGATGCTTGGTGAGCTAAGTGCATTAAATGCATTTTTGACTTACGATATTTTTAGCTCATGATTGGGACTCAGATAAGTTGAGGAGCACCTGTATTGCTGCAGTGAACATCTGTGTCCCCTCAGGATGGGAGCCTCCCTATTGGAGACCAAAAGAGTGCCCACTGTTCTCTAGAATGGGGCCTCTGGTCCTCATGCCTCACCTCATAAGATAGGACCCTCCACTCACAGTGCACAGTAACGCTGAAGGTGACGGTGGTGGGGACGAGGCATTAATGATGTTGACAACCACATAACGTTGACCGTGGTGGCCGGGATGGTATTGTCAGTGGCAGCAGTGGTGCCGTCATGCCCATGGTGAGAGCAGGAATAATAATGACATCAAAGAAACTGAGTTTCTCACATTCCAGACACTTCTAAGCACTTTTCACGTATCAACTCCCAAAATTCTTATGACAATCTTGCCAAATAGGTACTGTTGTCACCCCATTTTGCTGATGAGGAAGGTGAGAGGTTAAATAACATGCTCAGGATATACTTGGTGGGGCTGGAGATGATTTGGGTGACTCTGGATGTTTATCATGACCATTGCGATGGTGACAATGGCAGTGATGATGGTGACAGGTGGCTGTGATGGGATGGCTGATGGTGGTAGTGTCTGTGTTTGTGACAGCCACAAGGATGTAGGTATTGGTGACCGAGGACAGTGGTGGCATTTGTCAACCATAGTGAGAATAATGGTGATGGAGAGATTGTGGTTGATGGTGGCAATGCCTGTGTCTTTGGTGGTCATAGGCAAAGTGGTATTGGTGATGCTGGTGACAGTATTGGTCTGACCCCGATGAGGATGGTGACCGAGCTCTTCCCTTTGCAGATGTGAAGTTTCTGAATAATCACAGCCTAGTGAAGGACGCTCAGGAGAAGGCCAACGCCGCCCTGCTCGATTACACCCTGTGCCACTACCCGCACTGCGGGGACAAGTTCCAGCAGCTGCTGCTGTGCCTGGTGGAGGTGCGGGCCCTGAGCATGCAGGCCAAGGAGTACCTGTACCACAAGCACCTGGGCAACGAGATGCCCCGCAACAACCTGCTCATCGAGATGCTACAAGCCAAGCAGACTTGAGCCTGGGCCAGCTGGGCAGGGCCAGGGCCGGCGGGGCACAGTCACCTCCCAGCCCTCTAGATGGTTTATTTGATTGCCAACCCAGGAGCCCCCTCCTGTAGGCCCCTGCCCCTGAGCTCCGATGTGGTGTGTTTGGGAAGGTGGGTAAGGTCAGCTGGGCCTGGCTGAGGTGGGGTGGCTCAGCCACTGGCACTTGCCTGCTTCTCAGAGTGCCCCCAGGAGGCGGCTGCTGAGCCCCCTCTTCTGTCCCCCTGCTCTCAGCTGTCTGTCCTGGAGCCTGAAGCAAAGTCTGGGAGGAGGTTTGGGATTTCCTGGTGGGCTTTGATGTCCCTTGGGTCAGAGATCATCCCTTCCCTGCTCCTGAAAACACTGACTGGGAGAAGCTGAGTGGGTGTCCACTGGGGGAGAAGGGAGGATCCCCAGAGCTCCTCCATGGAGACCGGAGGGAAGCCCTCTGCTTCATAAACCAGGGAAACCGAGTTTGCTAAGTTGATCAGGGGCTGTTGGGCCCTGGAGAACACTGGGAGACTGGTTAGGACAAAAAGACCTCCTTCCTGGTCCTTCAACCCCATCTGACTTCTGCAGGGGGGAGCTTTGCTCCATTATCTTAAAGAAATTTTGCCACAATCATCTTTTGATCCTGCTCCCACCAGGGGAGAATTTTGGTACATGTGAGCCACACCCACAGTTGGCCAGCCCAGGCCGGTATTTATCTGCACCAAGAGGCTTTGTGGTTTTTTGTGTTTCTTTCTTTCTTTTTTTTTTTTTGTTTGCCCAGATATTCCCTGAAAGATGTGTGCGATTGCAGGTAGGGGGTACATCTGAGGACTGGGGCTGGGATTTAGGGATTAGTATTAAGCATGGCCCTTGATTTCTCCCTCAGGCACTCTCACATCAAGCACCCTATGGGTGGTGCTGACTCTCTATCTCCCACCCCAGTCCAGAGAGAGGTGTTTCTTGTCCGGCCCACTAGATGGACAGTGGGATACTGTGGGGCAGGTGGGGGAGCTCAGAGTCTCTGTGGGTTGAAGTATAGGGGAACTTGGGAGGGTGTGTGGGTCTCTAGATCAAAAACAATCCTGATGGGCCCTTCCCTCATGGCCCCGTCCACTGGGTCCTTTGCTGCAAACCCAGGAAACTGGGCCTCAGCTCCCTGGCCTCTTCCCCTGTGTCCTATGTCGTGAAAGACACAAGATTGGGCATTCATGTCCCTGCCTTCCACCACCCTGTCTCAGTTCCTGCCTCTAACCCCTGAAACGTGTGCCCCGGCCAAGGCCAGAGACCCATAGCCCCCAAAACGAGAAGTGCCCTTAAGAATCTCCCCAGCTCCCGCAGCCCTGGAATAAATTTTGCAATTAGTTTCCAGCTACCTTTGCCTAGTTACATTCTGAGGTCAAGGCATAAGCTCCTGGGGCGGGGGTTTGGGTGGTAGGCTGAGGTGGGGCAGTGTTCTGACCAGATTAGAGAGGACTTGCAGGCAACCTTTGGTTCAAAATTTGGGGAGGCAGTGTGGGTTGCTGGGGCTGGGTAGGGGCATGCTAGGCACTTTTGGACCTTGGGCTTCATCTCACCCTGGGTCCCTGAAGCACTGGGAGGCCTGGGAGATGCTGTGGTCTTCCAGGGGCTCAGTTTCAGTTCTACCTTTCCTGGCCATGCCAGCTTGGCCCCCGTCTTGAGTGGAGGAGAGCTGTCATTTAATGGGCACCTACTGTGTGCTATCCTTCATCTCACTGTCCCTATGGTGGCCCTGTGAGGCTGGGGTTTAATCTGGAGAGAAAAGCACTTGTCAAGGGCCCCCCAACCAGAAAACTGGGTCTGGCTGTTGTCAGAACATTGGCTCTTTCCTTTTTGCCCTTGTCCCTCATGGATTGATGGCCTGTCCCACTCCACACTTGGTGGCAGCAGTGCGCACATCAGAGCTCCCCCTGGTCCTGTCATCCTATCTGCTCTTCAAAGCCACTTCTGCAGGTGGAGGCCCCTGATTACAGGTGAAGAAACTGAGGCATAGAAGAAGTGGCTTGTCCAAGGCCATACAGCTGAGAAGTGGACTGCAATGTGTAAAGCTCCATCTTCCTTACTCACTTTGGCCAACTTAAACAGTTAATCTCCAGGGCCACTCTGGTCTTCCCAGTGCTTCTGTGCAAAATAGAAAAAGATACCCTCGTCCAGGGGAATATAGCCCTGGGCAAATGCCTTGGCAGTGACTCTTAGGCAAAGAAAAAGGCATCCTCTCCTTGGCACCTGCAGAAATGAAGCAGGCTCCCTACATTCTGCCTTGGGCAATGGCCAGCCTTGTAGGAGGAGAAAATCTTAATCAAATTGCAGTCTGATGTGATGCTTGATGTGATGCTTCATGTAACTGAGCCGGATAAGATGACGTGATCGGCTCTGCTTCTGGAGGGACAGGGGCAGGCCCAGGAAGGCTTCATAGTAGAAGTGTCATCCAAATTGGGTTTTGAAGGATGCCCAGGAGTTCCCCGGCTAGACAGGAGTTATGAGCAGTCCAGGCAGAGGGAGCAGTGTGAGCAGAAGGATGGAAGGGTGTCAGTCAGCAGTGTTCGGGGACCTCGTTATTTAGATGGAGAGAAAAAGGGGCATGGGGGAGGAAGTGTGTGGGACAGAGGAGGGGCAACTGGAAAGGACTCCATGGCCCCATCTCTGGCTCATCCCTCATGGCCCACATGACTAGTTTGGGAAGAGACCTCCTAAAGGTGAGGGGAAAAAGAGTCAGAAGACACTAAAGGGCAAGCGGTAAGGAGCCACCAAGTGACCTGCCCACCCCCTTGCTGCCCCTTCAGGCTTCATCCCCAACCATCCTCCCCCACAGCAGGTAGGGGCCTACCCTGCTCAGGATCGGCCCAGCCCTTCCTCCACCTTCCTAACGCAGGGTGGGGGCTCTGCCATCCCCCCATGGGGCCACACTGGCTTCTCTCCAGACGCTATCCCTGCCTGGCACCTTTAAGGCCTAGAACATTCCCTCCTTTGGGCCACAGGGTCCAGCTCCTACAACCTCATACTTCTGTCACTGGCCACAGCTGACATTTCATAAGTGCCTACTGTGTGCCAGCTATTTCCTAAGTGCCTACTATGTGCCAGGCTCCATGCCCAGCACTAGCACAAGCCTGTGGTGACACCTCATGTTGCTTGCCTCAGAGACCCAATGTCCCCCAGGCTACAGATGACAGACTGGGTTTTCAAAGGCAAACAGGCCCCATCCCCACATGAAATACCTAGAATGGTGCTTGTGTGGGTGGGTCAAACACCCTGGGATAGATTTTGCCCAGACTCAACCTGGACAGGGGTCAGAGTGGAAGCTAGAGGGCCTCTTTGGGCTTCTGTTGCTCCTCACTCAGCCCTGCCCCACCTGCTGTGGAGAGGCTACTGTGGCACCACTCAGCTGTGCCAGTCTTGCCCAGCAAGATCTGAGCCCGGCTGATGTCAGCAGGTGTTAGCAGCTACTGCACCCCAAGTCCCAGCTCTTTGCCTGCCCCCTGCCTTGGGGCCCTCCTTGGTCCTAGGCCTGGTGCTGAGCCCTAACATCATCCCTGCTGCTCCCCTCACACTAAAGCCTCCTCTGCCCAAGAAGTGTCCAAGATTCAGAGAACCTTGCCCAGGAATACATAGTGGCTGCTGGCAGGGCCTGGTCTCCCAACCTGACTCAGAGGCATCAAGACTCAGTAGGCCTCTAGTGCCTCCTCTGAGCAGTGTGCCTGGGTGGCTTCCACTCATACTGCCACCATCCTGGCTGCTATGTCACCTGCCAGGGTGTCAGCATCACCTCTGAGTCCTCTTTTGTACAGGAAAGCCAAAGTGACAGCATTTCTTGCTCCTTCCCTCCTCCCAGAGGGCCTGGACTCCTTTCCCTCTCCCCAGGCCAGTATGACAGAGCCCCTCACATCATTCACCCATCCCCACCCTGCCCCAGGGACCAGCAGAGCCTCAACAGTACCATTTATTGCCACAGACAACCACAGGGCACACAGAAGGAACACCTGGGCAGGTGGAAGGAACAAATCACAGACAGCATGCACAGGGGACACAGCCGTGGAACGGTGGCGGGTGGGTTAGGACTACTGAGCTGGGGCCCATACTTCCTAGTAGGAGCTCGAGGCCCAGGCGGCGGAGTAGGGGTGGTCCAGGTGCCACTGCTGCTGTCTCGGCTGCGCCTAGGGGGTCCCAGGCAGAAGTCCCCAGGCTGAGCTCAGCTGGGGCAGGGCTTGGAGGAAAGTGCCCCCTCCACTCTGTCTAGAAGGGTCAAATACCCTGGGATAGATTTTGCCCCAGACTCAACCCGGGTTAGGGGTCAGAGTGGAAACTAGAAGGTCATTGGGTGCTGGGGGGCCTCTGGGAGGAAAGTGTGTCCTTTGAGCTGGGATGGCAGGGAACGGTGATGAAGGCCCCCAACAAGGGGGAGAGGGCTGGGAACAGACTGGAGGAAGACGCTGGGCAGTCCCAGCTCAGCCTCAGTTTCTCCACCCTGAGAACACCTGCATGCCTGGGAGGGCTCCGAGGGCTTTTGAAAGGGCAATGGCAGGCTCCCTGAGGGGCACAACTGACAGTCCCCACTCTCCCAACCTCTTGCTCGGGCCACCTAAGTGGGGAGCCGGGTCTAGAAGCGGGGTGGGAACGGGGGAGGGGGGCAGGATCCGGGGTTCCAGAGAGTGGGGCCTAGGTGGAAGCGGCTCCGTTGCTACGGGCAGCCCTAGCAACGCACCCATTCAGCGGAGACAAAGGCGCTGTCACTTGAGCGCAGAGGCGCCGCCGCACGCTCTAGTTCCCGCAGCCAGCGCCGCGAGTGGGGGCGGGGTGGGGCGGGGGCCGCGGGGGCGGGAGCAGCTCCGGCCCCGGGAGCGCCCGCCGCGCCTACGCCCCGCAGCCTGCAGGGGGCGCTCCCAGCCCATTTTGGAAAGGGGAAGGTGTGACTCCAAGAGACGGAGACACCAGCCAGAGGCAGGGGCCAGCTGGGCCCTTGGGGTCACACAGACCTGGGATCAGATGTGCTTATGCTTACACCCAAAGACCACGGCTGTTCCTGTTCCCCATCTGTGTGGATAGGGCTTGACTTCAGCTCTGCTACTGATTCCCACAAGTTGCTGCTACTTTTTGTGCCTCAGCTTCCTCACCCACGTAATGGGAGAAAACAGCAGGGCCATTCACTGGGTTGAATCAGCAGGTGCCTGGGGTTTAACAGCAGGCCTCTTACCCTAGGCTGGAGAATATGGTTTAAGATTGCAGGGACTTAGGTGCAGGGAGGCTGACAGAGAGCAGGACCCCCATGGTTCCCCTCTGCCCAGGCTGTCCTCTCCCTAGGCAGTGCTGGACTGTCCCCGGCCTTGCCCAGCTGCTGCAACACACCCCCCCCCGCCCCCTCTCATAATATGGTGCCTCCACCTGCTATCTAGCTGGGGAAACTAAGGCCTTAGAGGATGGTACTTGGCCCTCACTGGGTCTGGAAGGCCTTTCAGATCACAAGGCATCACCAGAGAGGCCCTCAGAGGGGAGGCTAGTCTTGGGGACAGAGGGAAGGCAGACTTCTTGTTCACTGCCCCTCCCCTTCAGGCAGCACCAGCTTTTAAAGGGGTTCCACCAACTAGCCCCCTAACTATTCCCTAAATAGCCCCCTTCCAAGGCCCACAGTGTGTTAATGGAGGACTTTTGGGGACCAGCAAGTAGCAGAGTGAGGGGAGGGAGGCTGGGTGTGGGTGGTCTTCAAATCACCTCCTCCTGGTGCAGTGAGGCTGAGGGGGTGACAAAGTCAGAAGGGGAGAGGGGGAGCCCTATGAGGTGGGAGCTGTACCTGAAGCTTTGAATGCCGTCAGCTCCACAACCTGAGGATAGAGGGGCCCATCAGGGGGGTGGGCTCCATCTCTATGCTCCCCCTTTCTCTTAGCCACCTTGGCAATCACTCCTCCCTCCCCCATGGCCTTGGCATTCAGGGCCTGCCAGCACATGGGCAGCAGCTCCCGCTGCTCCCAGGGCCCTGCAGCATGGTAACTAAGGAACACATTCCAGGGGGTGCCCCCACTCCAGCCCCTCCTCTAGTCCCTGTGATGTCTCCAATCCTGAGGGCTACTCTGGCCAGCCCCCCTGCAAGATCTCTGTAGGCCCTACCCAGCCCCGCCTCACCGGTCTCTCGGGTTCTGCAATGGAGGAGAAGGCTGTGGGGATTCTGGGGCCATGGGTCCCTGGTGAAGAGAAACATTAGAGTTGGCAAATTTGGGGCAGACCGAGGCAGGACCCTCTCTTTGCTCCCCCATCCTGAGAGTGGCACTCTCATTATCAAATATCCTAAGATCCACTCAAAGATCTAGCCCACAGATTAGTGATGAGGAAACAAAGGCCTAGAGAGGGAAGGTAACTTGTCCAAGGGCACGCACGGGGAAGGTGGGAGCTGTGACTGGAACCTCTGGCCTGGCCTTGCCTTAAAGTCATCCAACCCATGTCTTGCCTTAGGGTTCCAAGCCCCCATCCACGCACCTGTCTCTGTGAGTCTCCCAACCCTCTCTCTCTGCATGGAGATCCAGAAAAGATCACCCCAGGCAAGACCCACCTGTAGGGTGGGCACCAGGGAACCTGGTTTCCTGGTAACGGGTGGTAACAAGCCATTTCTAAGCCATTCCCCCAAGCCCTAAGGTTATACTTTATTGGGCTTCTGTTACTTTATCTTTCGGATGGGCTAACAGAAACTGCCCTTGTCCTCCTAGCTCCGAGCACTGGCGAAACTGAGGCACAGGGCAGCACTTGGACTAGAGGGGTGGTGAGGCCATACCTCTAAGAGCCACGTGTCTTCGGGGGGCAGCCAAGGCTATGGGGCTGGCCTGTGCTGTCTCCCATGGAACAGGGGGCCGCAGGCTGGCTCCTTGGGTCTGAAAGGACAGTACATCGGTGCTGGGATCCTGCCCCTCAGTGTCTGGGCCTCCTACCCCACCATCCCATGAGTACCTCAGCTGCCTTCTCAGTTGTCCTCTGCAGGGCACTCCACACCTGGGGGATGGCTGGAGATCAGGCCTGGGGGTGCTGAGCACCCACTCCACCCCAGTCTACCCATCCTACAGCCAGTGCGCCCAGGCTTACCTCCCCGTTGCAGGCTGCATAAACCAGGAAGATGTACGGCCCCTGGAGACAGACCCCTCAGGTGGGCAGGTGGCACAGCCTGGGACACCTGCTCCCAATGGCTTGGCCTCCCGCCCTGCCTGGGGCCATGGTGCTAGTAGTTACCACACCATAGCACAGATGAACGCTGAGGAACACAAAGCCCACCCTGCCCTCCTGTCCCATGGTGGGGGGGCTGCAGCATCAGCTGGAGAGGGGACATGGAGGGGCCTTCTCCCACTCCGCCCAGTGCCTGAAGCCCCTCTGACCTCTCATGTCTACTTCCCAGGCCTGCTCCATGCTCCCAACCTCACCATCCTGCAGGGCTTGCGGATATGAGGGGGAACACCTTCCTTAGCTCTAGGGCCGAGTCAGATCCCTGGACAGCAGACCCGTAAGTGCATTCTCACTTTGCCTCTAGCTGAGTGCCCTTCTCCTCCTTGAACCTCTGTCTCTTCATCTGGAAAGCAGGGATGAGGCCAGGACTTGCCTTTAAGGGGATGGGGGTGCTTGGTAAGAAGGACCTAGCACAGTGGCTGGGGCACAGCTGGCTTCCCTCGCCAAGGTATGGGGGCAAGAGGACCCTGTCTTTCACAAAGTACCATGACATTGGGGATCTTGCTTGACCCTCACAGCAGCTCCATGATGAGGGGAGGGGCGTTCACCCTGCAGCCCAGGGAGGGGGAGAGAGGAATGAGTCCCAAGCTCTACTGTGACCCAGCAGGCAGTCCAGCAGCCTGGGGCCTCCTCAGACTCCCCATGGCCTGAGGCTCAGACTGGAGGACTCAGGTTGGGGTATGTGGGATTCTGTGAGACCTTCCAGACTCCTAGGCCTGAAAGCTGGAGGCTCAGAGCCCAGCTCTTCCTTCTGATGCTCAGGCACCAACTGAGATGATGCTGCCACTATTCAGCCTCCGAGAGATTGGTGCCTCTGAGCCCCTGACACTTGGCCTATACCCTCTCAACTACCCATCTCAACTCCTTTTACTCCTACAATCAAAGGCATCTTTGCACGCTCCAACCCAACTACACCAGCACCTGCCTAACACACTCCATGGCTCCTAAGTACCATGACACAGGCAAGGCCTTTTCCCAAGCCCCATGCCAGACTGGGACAAAGTCTGAACTCTGCACAGTGGCTCTGGGACCTGTAACAGTCTGGCCCCCACATCCCTTACTGCCTCCCTTCTCACCAGCCTTCCCCCTCGTGCCTCCCTCACTTTGATCTCACCATACTCCCCTGGCTACAAACATCCCTTTCCTTCTCTCTATGCACCATCAGGTCTTAGCTGAGAATCCCCCCTCCAAGCAGCAGCCCTTCTGACTCCCCATGAGTGGCTCCTCTGTACCCTTCTGCCTTGATGGTCCCTTGGTCTCTCAGCCTCAATTGTACCACACTGTGCCTGTCGTGCAATTTTGTTGTTTGAATTCTTTGCTCCTATGCGCCAAAATAGGCAAAGGGTGAAAGGACTGGCTGGAGGTAGGAGGTGACACAGAGTAGGTGTGACAGAAACAAGGGAAGGGCCAGGCCTGGGGAGAGGGACCCAGAGAATAGGACCCTGAGCCCAAGAGGGTCACATGATCATCAGGTAGGCGCAGGTCCCCATAGGGCAGCCTGTCCTCTACTTTTGGCAGGAGATCTCCCTCAGGCAGGTCTGAGGCTAAGGTTGATAGGAGGGGATGAAAGAGGGTCACACCTCCTGAGATGGCTAGGCAGAGAAGAAAAGATGGGATGTCAGAGAGACAGGGGTGGGACGGACATGGAAAAGGCCAGGAAGAGCCAGGTGGGATCCATGCCAGGAAGATTACGTGCGGCTGAGGGAGAGAGGGGACAGTGACAAGAGAGTATGAGAGAGAAAGAATCTCTCAGAGAAAATTCAGAGACAGAGACAAAGGGCGAGACACTGAGAGGAAAGAACGAGAGGGTTAGGGTGTGAGGCCCAACCAATGGTGGCACTGTCCCCAGGGCCATGCTTCTGCCTGGCTGAGGAGCCCAGGTGGGGGTGGGGAGCATCAAGGACCCACCCCAAGAAATGGAAGAGCACCCAACAAGGATCTGGAGGGGTTGCCATGGTGATGTGCTGCTGCTGCCCCTCCTGTGTTTCAGCAGGATAGGGTCACCTTGCCTGGGTCACACTGAGACGGGCCAAGTTGGAATGGGAAGCCGTGAAGCCCTGGGGTGGGACATGGAGGAAGGGCTCACCTGTGTCAGGGAAGGGGGTGCAGCACAGCTCACCCACCACTCAGGCCCAGGTCTCCAGATCCATGCTCCCTGAGAACGGTGTAGGGAACCCCAAGGCCCCTCTCCAGGCAGGCCCCCCCCTCCATCTCCATCTCCCCGCTGGCCTGGCAGAAGATGGCTGAGTCCCCAAGGCCAGAATGGTCCAGGACCTGGTGGCCAACGCCCTCAGCTCCCCTCCCCCTCCTGCCTCATCCCCTTCATCACTTCACTTCTTCATCTCACCATGGCTGCCTCCCCCACTCAAAGGGCAGTTCCATGAGAACAGACTTTTGCTGTCTGGTATGCTGCTGGGACCCCATGCCCAGAGCAGCACCTGGCACGTTGTGGGTGTTTGGTGAGTGGTATGTGGGATGAAGGGTGACTGGGCAAGGGACACTCCCCAGGAGCAGGTCAGGACCTGGCTGTCATCCAGGCTGGATACCCCAAGGCTGAGAACACAGGCTCTGCAGAGGGCGCTCCCAGCTCTGTGCCTTCCTGTAGGCAACCTTGGGCGAGTGACTTCATGAGTGCTCAGTTTCCCCACTTGTTTTTTTTTTTTTT